TCTATGTGCTGGCCCATTATTGTTTCATTCTCGGCTAAGTTTGCGTCCTGTGGATGGGAACAAAATGACTTCGAATTTAATCCCTAATTATTATTGTTACACTACAAAAAAATTGTTATATTCCAGCGAAAAATCATATATTCCAACAGTATAACTTCCGTTGGAAAAATTCCAACAGAAATTCCAACGAAAATATTCCGTTGGAATATGTTTTCATTGGAATTTTAGATAGAATTTAATGATTCCAATGTCTATATTTCCAACGCCTTTTTACAGTAGGAATTTCCGTTGAAATTTTTATTTCCACTACCGTTGGAATCATCAAAATTCAAAGGAAATTCCAATGGAAAACTAATTCCAATGGAATATTTTTGTTGAAATTTCCGTTGGAATCCATTAGAAAATTTCAACAGAAATAATAACATTGAAAAAAATCCATTGGAATTGCCGTTGGAATTCTATTTGAATATATTTTCGTTGAAATTTCATCATTTTTTTGTAGTGTTATTACCCTCCCTACATATAAATGCCTAGTTTTTCGAGCCTAAATTTCGACTCATGGTGCTCTGTAAATTGTACCATATTTGTCAGTCTTTTATTTTTATTTTTTTTTGCTTTGTAGCTGTATGTATCAATTGGAGCTATATGTCTGGCGAGTTGCATCAACTTAGCCTAAATATCGACTTCTGGTGTTTTATAATCATATATCACTACAAGAAATTATTAAAATGCCAACAGAAGTGGATTACCAATGGATCGGCAACAAATTAACACTGCATATTATATACAATGTTTTTAAACCCAACAACTAACAAAATATTGAAATGAAAAATTATATCTTTGTATTTTATTGACAAATAGTGACAGGAATTTTCATTAGTAAACACCAAGAAATTTACAACACGTGTCAATTTTGTGTGCTTTGTAATCATATATGTCAAATTGGTGTTTCATAATCCTATATTTCAACTTCTGGTGAACCAAAATGTCAGCTTCTGATGCTTTGTAATCATATGTCACTACAAGAAATTATCAAAATGCCAACAAAAGGGGATCACCACCGGATCATCAATGGATTAACATTGCATTATATATACAATTTTATTAAACCCAACAGCTAACAAAATATAGCAATGGAAATATATCTTTGCATTCCATTGATAAATAGTGATGAAAACATTCATTACTAAACACCAACAATTTACAACACGTGTCAATTTTGTATGCTTTGTAATTATATATGTCAATTAGTGCTTCATAATCTTATGTTTCAACTTCTGAAATGTCGTCTTCTTGTGCTTTGTAATTATATGTGTCAATTTTTTGTGTTTTGTAATCATATGTGTCAATTGGTATTTCGTAATCCTATATGTCAACTTCTGGTATGATTTTTAGAATTATAAAACACACTACTAATTTAAATTATAAATATATTTCACAAGGTAATAGCATTCGTATATTTTATAAATTTTTCACATATAATATATTAAATCAATCATGCATATATTACCTTTATGGTAATAACTAAATTATCTATTAATATAAATTGAAACTAATAAAATTATTTTCCAATTAAATAAATTTATTTGTCAATCCAATAATAGGATTTACAAAATTATTATAATATACAATAAGTAAATCGTATCACCTATAAATAAACTAGTAAGCATCCCGCGCTATGCACGGGCGGGTTTATATCTTAAATTTTTTAAAATTTTGTTTTAACAGTGTATTAGCCTGCTGACCAATTTATATTAAAATAAATAATATTTTAAAATATATATTTGTTTTTTGATACATAAATAATAATTTTACTTATTATTAAACATCATAATACTTAAATATTATTTTATTCTAAAATTTAATTTCATATAGTTTCATTATTATTAGTTATAGTACTTATAAAAGTTTAATTCAATTTTTTTATATACTGATGAGTATTCAATTTGTATTATTATTAATTATTGATGTAATTTATTTAAAAATATATAAATAACTTTCAAATAATTATTATTCCATGTGTGCATTCTATTCAATTTTTAGGATTTATCCTATCTCGTAATAATAAAAGTTAAGATAAAATAGAATGTATCAAAAAAATTTGTATGTGATCTTTTCTTTTAAATTTTGAATTTAAATTTTTTTCCAAAATTTTCAAAAACACATTTATGCGGTATATTTCAAAATTTATTAAAAACATTACTCTATTTAGTAAATATTTAGGAGGGATTCCTAATTATTTTTTAGTTACTATTCTAGGGTTTTCTATGTTGGTTCTTTATATAATAATAGATTGTACAACATTTCAAAGAAATGTTTGAAATCTAAAACATAAAATTCTCTGTTTTTGTTTAATAAATATAATTTTTTTAACAACACGGCCATATAATAGACGGCGGGTTGTACTCTACTAGTTATTAATATTTGAGATTCTGCATAATTCTCCCTTAATTTCAGTCTAAATAATAATAATAATAATAATAATAAAAAGGAAGGGATAATGTTTCGTAAATTTTCAAAACTTACAGCGACTTTTCCTTTTACATACAAGTATAAAAGATATCACTACAGCTTCTCATAAAGCACAACATCAAAAGCAATGGAGACATTAATACTTGCACCAAAAACAGAACATAGTTAACTCCGTAAATCTTTTGATGATTACACGGAGAGAATGAAAAAATAAAAAATAAAAATTCTTAGTTTTCTCGTAGTTTCTTAACTTTGTAACTTGACGGGTCCTTGAAGGAAGCCATTGACGAAGAAAATCCCGAGCGATGAAGCTTCGCCTTGTCCTTGTTGAACGCTTTGTTAACTTCATCTTTGAGCTCCATAAAACGCTTTCGTTTCATTTTCTGTTCTTCCGGTGTGCCCTTCTCGAGATAGGACAGATCATCTTCCATAAACTTATCCAGAACTTGTGAGCAATTCGGAAAATATCGTCTTCCCAACTCAACTGCTAACAAGTAGTGTTAATTATTAATTCTATTGCATCTTAGTTTGTGTTTGATAAACATATAAGCTAGCTTATATAAGCTTCATATTCAGATAAGCTTCGTTTGGTAGGAAAAGATTTTTTAAAAAACTCGGGCTTATCTCAAAAGATTCATTGGGTAGCTTTTCAAATAAGCCCATTGAATTTTTTTTTTCAGCACCAAACACTTTTATCATATAAGTTAGCTTTCAGCCATAGGTCATAAGCTATCAGCTATAAGCTCAAAATTCACTTAAAAACTATAAACTAACTTATCAGCTAAGTTACCAAACATAGTCTTAACCAGTTTACTTCAAAATTTGAAGTAGTTTAATTCTACCTGTTCTTGAGAGCGTTCCGATTCTTGAAAGAAGCTTCTTGTTTTGAGTGATGGGTGTCTCGTTTAGATCAACCTCCATCAAGTTCCCGCTTGAGCCTCTCGAGTACAAGAGACTGGTGACTTCTGTTGTGGTCTCGGCGTGTGCAATTTCCATAGCTAGCTTAGCTTCCGTAGGGAAAAACATACGTGCAAACGCCACTAAAATACACACGAATTTACAAACTCAGTTGCTGTATCACATGTCGCCTTCGTGCTCGATCAAAAATAAGTCTTGCACAAACCATTTTTTTTGGGTGTTTTTCTTTTTTAAGTCTTGCACTAAAAACACCCAAGAAAAATGTTCTACTCAAATACATTCTTCAATCTAAGGCCAAAAAAAAAAAAATCTTTACTTAATCGTATTCACCAAATATTGAAATTAATTGATCAACGACTACCAATTAAGAAGACCGACACATAAGCAGAAAGTTTCAGAATACACAGTACACAGATTCACATAAATAACTCTCATCGTATGAAATACAGTACAAATCATACTCCCGAGCACCGGCATTTTCTCTTCTTAGCTCACCTAACAGATTATCCAACCATAGATAAATTAAGAAAAAATAAAATTAAAAAAATACCTCGATCTTCCAAGTAGAGCAACTTCATCCGCAAGTCATCGGCCACAGCCAGGGGCGAAACCGACTTTTCCCCCACAACCGGATTCCTCCGCATCTCCCTCTCCAACAAATCAACGCACATCCTATCCTTATTATTCGCCTCCTGACCTTTCTCTCTCCTCGTCTCGAAATCCTTCCGCCTCGTCAGCCTCCTGTAGATATCCACCGCCGTTCGCCCCTCGAACGTCAACTCCGAAGCACAAGCCCCTTTGTTCAAAAGCGAGACTATAACAGACGGTTCTCTTCGCCTGGCCGCCACGTGGAGCACCGTGAGGCCACGAGCGTTTCGTAAGTTCACGTCCGCAAGGCCAAGGCTGAGGATTTCGGACACTACTTTCGGGTCGCAATATGCAGCCGCGTAGTGTAAGGCATAAGCCTCGTCGAGTGTCGTGTCGGACTCGGTTAGGAGGAGGCGAACGAGCTCGATATCGTCCGAGTCGAGGGCACGGAGTATTCTCCTAACGCTTTTCGAGGCCGAGTTGACTCGGTCATTGTCCTGTTCGGGATGAGGAGGAGAAGAATTTTGCCGGAGAAGTTTGACTTCGGTGGCGACAGCTGGCGGGAGCTCCTTCTCGATGGAGATGGTGTCGAGGTCAGAGTGGGCCACTTGGTGAATGCAATGCGTGTAGAGGTGGCTGAGCTGGCAGTGGAAGGCGAGTTTGAGGATGGGGATGATGTCATCAGCGGTGGCCTTGCTGACCAAGTTTAGAAGTCGGCGCTGCAATTTTTTTATTTTTTATTTTTAAAATTTCGGAACATTTTTATATTGTTGAAACTTGATATCATGCGAGGAAGAGATATATAACCGGATGGAGCATGTTCAGCTATCAAATACGCATTTATTATGCTCGATTGTTATTGCACCTAACAAGTTCCAAATTTTAATCACATTCACATACATCTGACAATTAAGAAGGCAAGCAAGAAGAACAAAGGCTGGTAACAGAGTGATTATTAGTTATTACAGCTTTGGATTAACATAGCAAATGAATCAACTGTAAAACAAATCAAATGTGCTTTTTTACCTTACATCCACATAAATTATGAAAACATTGACAAATGTGCTTTAACCTTACATCCACATAAATTCGAAACATTTTACATGTTAAAATCATGCGTGAAAGATATTACCGGATAAAGCACGTTCAGCTATCAAAATGCGTTACATGCATTTATTATGCTTGATTGTTATAGCACCAGACGAACTATGATGACGTCTTTGTGTTTATAGTTTTTCGCACGAACTAGTGCTAGAATTGGTTAGAAACAAACAAGTTCCAATTTTTAATCAAATACATCTGACAATAAAGAAAGCAAGAAGAACAAAGGCCGGTAACAGACTGATATAAATCATAGCAAGTTCCAATTATTGGGATCAAACATATCAAAAATCAACTGAAATATAAATTATGAACTAGTTTGCTTGAATTGGTTAGAAACAATTTCCAATTTTTAATCACATACATCTACAATTAAGAAGGCAAGCAAGCAAGAAGAACAAAGGCTGGTAACAGAGTGATATAAATCAATAAATCATAGCAAGTTCCACTTTTTCGTATTAAACATAGCAAAATGAATCAACTGAAATATAAATATCAAACGTGCTTTTAAGTTTTACCATACATTCAAACAATGACAAAAGAATTCGGTACCTGAAAAAGCGAGACAAGCTCGGGAACCTGAAAAATCGTCGATGCATACATCAACTCCACAGCAAAATTAACAGCGGGCCCACACGAGTCGTGTGTGCACGAGCTGTCGACACATGTCGACACCTCAACTGGCGACTGATTAAGCTTTCCCGTATAAGAATAATTGAGGAACAGAACAAAAGCATCATACCCAATGCTTCCACACGGCAAAAAATTAGCCATGTAATAGCTCGGCCTCCCATTCTTCCCGCCAAAACCCCTCTCGTTCGTGAAAAGATCTCGGAAAAACTTGCTCCGGGCAGCTAAAATGCACCGGTGCACGCCAACTGTATTTTCTTCGACCACAATTTCAGCATCGGTAAAATCACCGTCGGGTGATTCGCAGAGAAGCTGCCCCAAATTCGAGCTCAGTTTATTCAAACTGATTCTTTCGAGATTCAGCTCAGCCTTCTCGGGATTCGTGTGAGTATTAATGGTGGACCCGTTTGATAAATGAGACGATGAGGTGAAACTGACGGACGATGACGGTTCCGCAGAACTATCCATGGTAGTAAATGTGAATACTAAATAGGATTTGGTACTATTGAGGTCCAATCTTCATCTGTTTCTAACAATTTTTGAACCAGAGAACAAAAGTAAGAATCAAATGCAGATATATTTTGATAATCCAAATCACATATCTCCCAAACGAGAGGAATCTAATCACTATAAAGGTAGACAATACAGCTCTTTTTTTGCCTTTTTTTTTTATTTTATATTTTTTTTTCTTCAACGGCTTAACGTATATATACCTCTTCAATTCTGAATCTCCGAGGTTTGGCTTGTCGACGTGACAATCTCGAATGCCTGAAACCATCCACACAGCAAAAATCAAAGAAATTCAGGCAATATCAGCAAACACAAGCACAAAATCGAAGAACAAATCGGAATTTTACAAACAAAAAAAACAGAGAAATTGTTCGGAAAATAGTGCAATTCCGATGATCGCCGGCTCAATCAAGAGATGAGAAATCTTACCGGTAAAAAAATAAAAAAAATAATAATTCTCGTACAATTTGCGGATTATGGAATGAGAAAACAAGGATTCAACCAATAAAAAGAGGCTCAAATGTCAGGCAAAAACAAGCAAGGGAAATAATACGCTCCTTAGGGTGGGCCCCAACCAGGTGTGAAAGTTTCGTGATTAGAATCAAAGCAACGCATGAAAGCATGACGCCAGCTTTTGAGAATTTATTTCGATTTACTGTCGCTGATTATTCCTTTGGTCGGGTATTACTTGACCCGTCTGAGATACTGTTTACGGGATCTGGTTTGTGGAGAGTTGACCTGCCCACGTTGGATTCTGAGTCATCTAAGTTGACTTGTTATACTATTTGAAAAAAAAAAATCATACATATACTATGAAATAGTAATATACCTTTGTCTACGTTTATTTCTAAGTATGATAATTTTTAATATAAGTATGCATATCTTAAAAAAAAATATTGTCGTTCTAATGGTTAGACGGGACTAATACAAGACTAATTGTCGAACAATTAGATCACATGAACACAAACTTACACCTGTACAGTTGTGTATTGAGCTAATTGTTTCGAACAGTACACGAACATATACTGTTATAGATGTGTGTTGATTTAATAGTTCAACTCTTAAAGTGGATAGTGAGCATGCTGACATGTTCGAGATTAACCTGATTGGTTCCAGGTTGTGCTTCTTTTTTTTTGTACTTATTATGTTTATATGTTAAATTTTTCGATAAGAGTAATGTTAAGAAAATCTAATAGTCATACGTTCACAATTTTAAATTAAAATGTCATACTTGAAAACTAGTGTGTGACTCGTGCAATGCACGGAAAAACAATATTACGATTGTATTATAAATTAAATATATAAATATCATCAATCATGATATATGTATTGTTTTTACATTAAACCGGGTTGGACACAATCCGACCGGATGGACGGAGAACCGATTTATAACCAGTCTAGTTTGCTTGAATAAGATATTTGCTTTTGAATCCGTCGACACCAGTCGGTTGGATTTGTAGAATCGACACAATTTTTTAAATAAATTTTATTATATTTAAAATTATTTTAAATAAAATTACATATTTAAATAAAATAGAGATTTATAAATTATTTATCAATTAGTTTAAACATTTGAATTTATAAATTTTTTAAATATCTAAGTAACACGTTTTGTTTAAATTTATTACAAAAAATACTATATATATGTATATATTAAAATATTTATAAATTAAAATCTGAACAAACCACAAATAATTTAATAAAATAACTTGATCGTTTCGATGACGATCTAGTTCTGAGAACCTTATATTTAGTGTACATTAATAAATATTATAATAAAACATTTTTTTGTTCACATAAATATTAATAAAATGATATATAGATATTCATAAATCATTAAACATGTTGTCATAAAAGTATTGTTAATACGATTATTTGAAATTTGGACTACTTCATATTCACGTAATAAAATATTTTCAATATAAAATTTATATTTAGATTCAATAATCAATTTGGGGTGATCGATCTGATTCATAACTTAGTCACCTGGGACCAACCAAGTTATGTCAAGTTTTTTGACTATTTTAAATATCACCTAAAAGTAATTCAATCAACCTGGGCAGTACCCTAATTCAATCACCTGATTGATCCGAAGAAATTTTCTTATTTTCTTTAAATATATTAAATATTATGAAATAAAAATATTTTAGGATTCATATAATAAATGTCTACACCAGATGATAGTATATTAAGATTATAAATTATATACCTTAAGATGAATAAATTATTTTTACTTTATGTATATTAATAAAAAATAAACATAGTAATTTTTAAAAAATTAAGATTAATCGATTGATTATGCAATTTAAAGAATATTTCTAGCGTTCAATTTTTTTTAAAGGCATAAATATAAAGACCGAGATTCTAAAACTTTTGTTATATTTTGAATTGAGATTTTATAAATATAGAGACCGATATTTTAATTTTGTTCGTTGTTTCTAAGAAAAAAATAAAAATAAAAACATACACACTTAATAAATCTTAGCCAGATTTTTTAAATAATAAAATGAACTATAGCCCGAAATTTAAGCATTTAATGTTGTATGAATTTTAAAAAAAAAATAAGAAAAATAATAAAACTTACTATTTATAGACTGCATTAAATTCTTATCTATTTTTTGCTACTATTTTTAGTAAATGTTAATTCTTATTATATATATATAGATTTATATAAACAAAAATATAATATTTTATAATATAAATATTTTTTTGAAAAAACAATATAGTTGGAAAATGGTTAAGCAGAGATGTATTTCAAATAATTGCCTACAAATTGTTTATAGACATGTCTCTTTATATCCGTGTCCGTTTTGATTGATTAAATATATATATATGCTTAGGAAATTACAAAAGTGTCTATAATTATTAAAATTGACCATTTTAATGATAATTTTGGACGAATTTTGAAAATATTATCTCTAATTTTTTAAAATTTTNTTTAGAGCTCGAAAATGGGTTACACATGAGCTCACACACACAATCTACAAAGAAAAGAAAAAAACTTCTAACTAGGGCAGCAAATGAACCGAACGACTCGCAAGTCGTTCGAATTTGACCGAACTCGAGTTGAGTTCGAGCGGCTCAAACACGAATTCCAGTTGAAATCGAGACCATATTTTGTATTGTCGAACGGCTCGTCGAGCGACTCGATATATATGTTAAATTATTTAAATAAACCTTATATATATTACAATAGTATAGTATATGTGCTTGATGGTAATTTATTTTTCCAATTAAAAATTTTTGAGCAATACTCGAGCCGAGTTCTAGCATTTTTATTTAGAGTTAAACTCGAGCCGAGCTCATGAGATTGTAATTTTTTATCCAGTCGAGCTTGAGCCTCATAAATCGAGCTCGAACAGCTAAAAAAAAATTAATCCTGCTCGATAGACCAATTCTCTCGACAAGAAACAACACAACTGAGACAACACAAAATACAAAATACACAACGAAAATACTAAATACACACCTATGAAAAAATGTTAACATTGATTTACTTGAAATTTTAGGATTCTAATAGCAAAATACATGTAAATTAAAGCTTACCAAAAAAAGAAATAAGTATAGCCCCTTTTTAAAAGTGGAACAACATGTTGGGCATGCCCACAATCCGACCCGCTTGTGATCCGGGTCTGGTTTGACTGAATCGGGTATGGAAAGTGGGGCATGAAGAGTTGGGTCACATATGGAAGGTGACGTGATGAAGTGAAAGAGCTGACGTGTGGAATGCGTTAGTTGGGAGGTGAAATGGCATGCGTGACGCAATCAATGATGACATTCTTCCCGCGCGCATAATGACCCCATGCCAGCCTGGGACCCTTCAGCTGTAAGATTCGTACACGCAACTTTGCATGTTAGAAGACTTTATTGGTTAATAAATTCAAACAAATTGAATTTTGTGCGTCGACTCATTGACCAAAAGGTGATTGGGTAATGCTAATATGGCTATTGATCAATTCAATGTTTTATTTGAAATTGTTTTGAGAATATAATGGCATAAGTAAAATTAACTCAATTTAATAATTAAATTTTGAAAATTAAAATAACATTTATACCTATTTTTATGAATATATAGACCAATAAAAATAAATAATTTACATATAAATTTTGTTTTTTCCAAAATTTTAATAATATTGTATAACAATATTTACAACTAAAAAATAGACATATAATTATAATTTTAAAATTTATTGTAATTTAAAATGATATATATATTCTATTTAAAAAAACAATCGGATAAACCAATTATACATAGGTAACCGGGTTACGGTTGGGTTGATCCACTTATTTCGAATTTGATCGATCTTGGGTCGACTCG